CTGAGTCAGTGAACGAATAAGCATCTCAGCACTGGCAGGGGTCTCCACACGGCTGCTCCAGCACCCAGGGCTGCATCAGGATAGGTCCATGTGGCTTCTCCTTGGGGATGTCGTGTATGAAGTCAATCTTGCAAGCTGAAGCAGGGAACTGCTAAGGCAGCTGCACCTGGTGCGACCATCACAAAGCAAGAGACCTTCACAAAGCAAGAGAACTCGAAAGGCGAGGCTTACCACCCATTTATCCCTCCACCTTTCAATTATCCCCACATGTGATTATCATCGGCCAGGTTGGCAATTAACTAACTCAAAAGGAAATGCGATGGTTTGGGTCAGATGAGCCTTAGCCCTCAAACTTTATCCTTGCTCTTCAACACTTGACAGAGGTCTTTTGCAGCAGATTTTCCCAGTGCAATATTTCCTGTGCTTTCTTGACTGTGGCTTCCAAGCGTGTTGGTTGTGGATCCAAGTAAAATCCTTGAGAATTTCTTCTTTTCTCCATTTACCAGGATGGTGTCTATTGGTTTTGAGGAATGTGATTTTCTTGACTTTGAGTTGCAATCCAGACTGAAGGCTGGATAGCCTTTGATCCTCATTGGCAAGTGCTTCAGGTCCTCCTCCATTTCAGCAATCAAAGTTGTGTCATCTGCATATTGAAGGTGGTCAATAAGCTTTCCTTCAATCCCAATGCCCTATTTTTCATATAGTTCAACTTCTTGTATTTTTGCTCGGTGTACAGATTGAAAAAGTACAGTGAAAAGATACAACCCTGGTGCACACACTTCTTGATTTTAAACAACTCAGCACCCCTGTTCTGTTTGAATGATTGCCCCTTGGTCTGGGTACCGATACATATGAGCACAATGAAGTGTTCTGGAATTCCCATCTTCTCAAGGTTATCCAGTTTGCTATGATCCACACACTTGAATGTCTTCGTCTAATCAAGAAAGCACAAGTGAACATTCTTTTTTCTTTTTTAATCATTTAATCGGGGTGCACATACAACTCCTATCATGATCCATATATACATCAATTGTGTAAAGCACATTTGTATATTCGTTGCCCTCATCATTCTCAAAACATTTGCTCTCCACTTAAGCCCTTGGCATCAGCTCCTTGTTTTTTCCCCCCTCCCTCTTCGCTCCCCACTCCCTCATGAACCCTTGATAATTTATAAA